CAACAAGAAATATTTTCAGATGATGTTTGTTTTGAAATAATTTCCATGCTCGATGATTCGTGGTTTATTTTGAATAATTGTTCCTTGATTTCAAAACAATTCTTTAATGTGATCAAGGAACGTTCAAAACTTGTTATTCAATTTAAACAAAAATTTACAGAGAAACGAGTTGAATTATTCATGAAAAGTCAGTTTAGGAATAGAATTATTAATCTTAAAGTTTTTAGATATTTGCTTGACTCTTTTGAAAAACTCAAATTCATTAGTGATATGAAACGATTAACGTCACTTGATATTTCTTTCAATCAAATTGGTGTACAAGGGGTCAAATTCATTAGTGGAATGAAACAATTAACATCACTTGATATTTCTTTCAATCAAGCTAGTGATGAAGGTGCTAAATACATAAGTGAAATGAAACAATTAACATCACTTGGTATATCTAAGAATCTAATTGGTGATGAAGGAGCTAAATATATTAGTGAAATGAAACAATTAACATCACTTAATTTATATTACAATGAAATTTGCGATGAAGGAGCTAAATATATTAGTGAAATGGAGCAATTGACATCACTTGATATTTCTTCTAATCTAATTGATGTAGAGGGAGTCAAATTCATTAAGGAAATGAAACAATTAACATCACTTAATATATATTACAATGGAATTGGTGTAGAAGGAGCCAAATACATAAGCGAAATGAAACAACTAACATCACTTAATATTACTAACAATGAAATTGGTGATGAAGGAGCTAAATACATTAGTGAAATGAAACAATTAATATCACTTATTATATCTAGGAATCAAATTGGTGATGAAGGTGCTAAGTACATTTGTGAAATGGAGCAATTGACATCACTTAACATTTCTGGCAATGAAATTGGTGATGAAGGAGCCAAATACATTAGTGATATGAAACAACTAACATCACTTGATATTTCTTTTCAATCAAGTTGGTGATGAAGGTGCTAAATACATTAGTGAAATGACACCACTAGGAAAATAAGCTGCGTTGGGTGTTGGAAAACAAAAAAACACCATTTATAAACCAAGTGGGTGGTAAATATCTGCTCCTATTCTTCATCCAAAGGTGTGCACCATTTTCGTCGATGTGAAATGGATGTTAAAGTCGTAAATGGTGACACAAGACCCAAAATTACAAATGGATATTACGAATGCTTGAAACGTTTGACGAATTCTTTCAGCATCAAGTATTCGAAAGGAAGTCAACTCTATTCAAAATTAAATACAACATTCAAAAAGAAATTGCCAATCCCAAAGTACACTACAATATGAAA